ACTGTATTTCAATGATTAAATTTGTCACATTTTTTGTAAGTCCGATGCTTTCAGTTGTAGTCTTAACAATAAGTCCTTAAAAATATTTAAAGTGTGACGCAGCACCAAAATATATTAAAAAAGACAAAGTTAGTATATTATATACCAAAGATAGAATAAGATTCAAAATTAAATATCAACTGCAATGCGTTCATCAACATTACTAATATGTACGTAAGTAAATGTCTTCACATATGTAAATGTATTTGTGTGCATGTATGTATGTATTGGGAAAGCATTGCGGTTCGTATATATTATATTTGAAAATATTAATAGTTATTATGTTATAAAAGATATTATTTTTTTTAAAGAAGATACATTCCTTTTTGTTCAAAAGCTGCTCACGAAATTTATCCCAATTTACTATTGGTACGAGGTTGTCGGATACGGAATATATAAAAAATTTAATCTTATGAATATTGTTAACCCTTCCTTTGACAAGCCAAAACAATTTTGATAAGTTTTAACTTTAAAATACTCTGCAGAGGAACTTCTGAGATGGTTCCAAAGTCGCCAAGCTGTGGCAACAGGTTGCGGATAGCGGACGACCTCTCTCGAGGTCAACTGTGAGTAAGCTGGTGGGGGAAGTCAAACACGAAATCGTGGACGGAAATCCCAGTAAATAAACAGTCCCGGACATCCAGCGGGTATATTGCAACGAAGAGATTCCGACGATGCGAATTGTTCAGCCGCATCTAAATAGTTGCTTTACACAAACCCACTCCCAACACAACACCTACCCATCTCCCCTCCCAAAACAACATCTCACTCCGGGCCGAACTACGGTGTAATACGGACCGTGCCAAAAGTCAGCATGGCTGGGGGCCCGGGTCTAAAACTAGCCGAGTATCAAACGATGTGCTCCGGGACATGGCGACACCCTGTTCTAACTATCGCCTTACCCGGGCATCACGGATCTCTGCCCGGGCGGCCCTTTTCCCTTTTCCACAACTTGTGGGACCTATTATGGAATCAAAAAAAAATTATGGAAAAACAAAACACAGAGACGGGAATTCTCAAAAAACCCACAGATAAGCGGAACACTGGTTCCAACATCCGCACCAGCACGGTCCCGAAAGGGCCGCATCCCAAACTGGGGATGACGGGTGGCAGAAAGCCAGCCGCGAACCCCTCCGCAACGGTCGCTTCTGCGCCGAATGCAGCGGTAGGCTTGCCAAGGACAAGGAATGTGCTTCCAAATTACTGGCAGGATAAGCCCACCCAAGATGGGGCTCAGGCGTAAACGCAGCGATCCCTCGATCTACTAACACCATCAGCGAAGAGATCCATGATATAGCCATCGGTCTCTTTTGCCGGGATCAGCAAAAACCGAGTATTACTCGACCTCAAAGACAGGGGCAATCCGGAGGGCAGGATTCCCAGGAATCCCAGCTTTCCTTTGTATGCATAAGCAAGATGCGAGAGAAGCCAGGTACATCACCCTGCTGCATGGACGCGAGCTGGAACCAGGGCAGGTCAAGGTGGTGGGCTGCGATGGTCAGCGGTCGGCTGACTTATACAAGCAAGCGACGGTGAGGTTTACGAAGGGGCGAACTTTGCCGCACTAGATTGGCGTGATGTCCCCAGTAGGCCCGGAGCTCGGATTTGGCTCCTAGCAGCAATCAAGGCGCCGGAGGACATCATCTACATGTTGCAGGAATGCAACCCGCATTTCCCCACGAAAGACTGGAAAGTCGTCAAGGTGGACGAGCATGTTGGGGATGTCAACCAGGCGGTGTTGGTCCTAAACAAGGAGTCAGTTGCTCCAATCAAGGAGTGCTAAACTTCGGGTTTAGTGCGATCCATATTAAGGTGTACAAGGGCGACTCCAACTGGCAGCTCTGCCGGCAACGCAGCCGATCAGGTGCTTGCTAAAGAGTTGGAGGCACCTGGTGGGCCGTAGGACGGCTACTCTACTGATTCGTCGCTGAGCAGAGAGATGCGAGCGCTCGGACCGGCTATCGAGGACTTGGACCTCAGCGACACAGAGGAGCCCGACGTCACTGTGGTGTAGGTAGCAGCTGTAGATGTCAATAAGGCTTCTACAAATCAACCGAAACGACAGTAAAGCAGCGTCGGCTGCACTTTTGCTTCGCCTGACCGAAGGCGGAGCCGACCCAGTCCTAGTACAGGAACCTTGGGTAGTAGGAGGCAAGGTTGCTGGACTAGGAACAAAGGAATACAAGCTTACGCTTGACCCCAAAGAAGGTAAAATTCGACCTGCATTTTAGCCAAAAGGCATCTTAGATATGTTTGCTTCACAATTACAGCAACGAAGACAACACCTCAGTAAGCCTGGAGCTGCAAAGTGGCTCTATAAAGGTACAATCAGCCTACTTGGCCTTTGAAAAGAAAAACCCCCAGATCCGCTGGTAAGAGGAATGGCAGAGGAATGCGAAAAGCTTAGGAAAGGTTTGGTAATAGGCTGTGACGCCAACGCCCATCACACCCAGTGGGGTTGCCTAAACAACAAAGACAGAGGTGAGGCTCTTTTTGACTTTTTGATGCAATAGGAGCAATGTCCCTTTTGTAATTCATAACTAAAACTTGCCAAACGATCATAGATCTAACTTTGGTATCAGAATCACTCTAATCACTCAGTCTCTGACGAGCACTTCTTTTCGAACCATAGATTCGTAGAAACCGTATTGTCCCTTGATTCGCCCTTGCCGGTCAGCTTCGCTAACCCCAGGCGAGCCGACTGGCACAGGTACAAAGAAGTTCTGACGAATATGCTCCCCATTGTAACGAACTGTTTTTTTTTTGGTCTGCTCGCTACGAGATTCGTGCGGCTAGCTCAGTATATTATGTGTTCGACCCACCAAATTTATATTAACGTGACCGCCCAGTAGCTCAGTGAGAAAGCACAGAATTCACGGGTTCGTATTGGGTTTTATTGCGGGTATATTATTACAAGTGTCTTAGTCGCTTGGTTGGCCTTGACTCGTTGCTTGTGACCTTCGGTGCTTCCGACGGTCCTGTCTGACTCGACGACCTCTCGCCTTGATGACTCGGTGCTCCAGTCCTGTAGCTCCCTGAAGATACTCGCAGCTCCCTGAAGATCCTCGCCGCTCCCTGAAGATCCTCGCAGCTCCCTGAAGACGCTCGCTCGCTGTTCACTTCTCACGCGTGACTTGGTGACTGCTGGTAACGACTCGGAATCGCGAGGGGTATCGGCCGTACGGGCTTAGGGAAGCGTCACCGTTCTCAGACTAGGGTGAACAGAAGCTGCGCTCTCCAGGATCGCTCCTTTCGACACACCGCCGCCTGTCCCTTGCTCTGTCCCGGATGGTCCCACTGGGGTTTCCGCTTAGCCCGCGCGGACAGTCAAGGCGGAACGCCAGGAAGCTGCCTCGCGCTTTACTTCGCTTCCACGCCTAGTGTAAACGAACGTTTCACCCTAGCCTCACCCTTTTGCTTTTGGTCCGGGACGTTTCCGCGTGGCTTTTGGTACTCGGGGTTCGGGCACGCCGCTCCGGGACCTCGCAAGTCGAATCCGTAGGGCTCTCCTGGATAATTCCACTCGAGACCGTACCGATCGACCGCTCTCCCTTCTAGCTTGTTATACTCGTGGTTCGGGCACGCTGCTCCGGGACCTCGCAAATCGAGTCCGTAGGGCTCTCCTGGACAATTTCACTCGAGACCTTACCGATCGACCGCTCTCCCTTCTGGCTTGTTATACTCTTTCCAGGCGTAACGCCAGGACTTTGTGGACAGGGTTAATCGACCGCCTTGACCTAGCCGTGTGATGCCCTCTGGATCTCAGCTACCTGCGCCTCAATTCGGAGATTCCTGGTATCCCAATCCCGAACGTCTCGACGTAGCAATCTCGCTCCTTGTAGGCTCCCACGGCGCTGCTTCTCTGGCGACTCGACTTGCTGCTGCTCCCTTGTAGATTATCTGGTTGTTTGATTGTTCACTTTGGTATCTGAGTGATCTTGACGGTTTGACTCCTCCGGGAACCGTTATTTCCCTTTTGCGGTCCAAAGTTCACGGGAGAGTCCAAAGTCCGGTGGAGTCCCGTTACCCGCTTTTGCACACGGCACTCTTGCCTTGCCCGCGAAGTCTCCACTCTCTCTCGATCTCCATCCTTGGTCTCCAAACTCTCTCGCTCTCCTTCATTGGTCTCCAAACTCTCTCGCTCTCCTTCATTGGTCTCCAAACTTTCTCGCTCTCCTTCGCTGGTCTCCAAACTCTCTCGCTCTCCTCGCCGCGCCGTTACTACGCGAATTCGCCGCGTATCTGGCAGGCGGCCGGCCATCTGCTGCTGTTTCTATTTGTGGGGAGTTATTCAACTCCTCACATTCACCCCTTACTTTGGGAAACTTTTTAAACTCGTTCCTACTCTCCGGCGTTTTTTTGTTTATCCTAGCCTTCGAGTCCTTGTGATTCCCGCGGCGCTCCCTCGTTGCTCCCTCGATGCTCCCACGACGCTCTTAACTCCGTTGAGTTTCTAAGCGCTGGTCATCCTCCTCGTAGCAACTTGAATCTCCTGCGCCGATATCTTTCCTGACTCCACTGGGACATCGATACTCGTGTGCTATCGATCCCCACCTCGCTGCTCATCGCTGCGTTCTACTCCTTTTATTTGCTTCCTCCGCCTGGTCACACCATTCGGGTGAGATCGATGTGCGATATCGATATCGACGGTGCGGCGTTGCCACCTGCTCGTTGCGATATTTCCACCTTTGGCCGATATTACCATTTGACGTGTACCCATCGATCGCACTTTCATCTAGTGCCAATCGATCGCCTATCGAGGCGCCCCCTTCCCTGGCTCATGGTGATTTTGCAACTTTCTAGGTAAGTTTTCGCATTTCCTCACTCCTTTCTATTTCATCCTTTCTCTCTCCACACGACCTCTCTCGCCTCTCGTCTCTCTCTCTCGCCCTTCAATCGTCCTCAGCCGGCTGAGCCTGGCTTTACGCTGGCAACACTCGAAAGCTGGTGCGGAAAGGACTTCGCATTTGCTTCGCTGCAGGTAAGTATTTTGGTGTCGCTTGGCTGCTTCCTGTATTAACCCAATATTGATTTCAGGATGCTGGAGCTGCCATGTATGCCCCTTACTTCTGGCCCCTGTTTCAGCCGCGTTTCCCGTTCTATGCCGGTTTTTCAAACTCTGTTTTTCGTTTTATTCAAATTTTATTGCCGCTCCTCGAACACTCTCGTGCCCGCCAGCCCCAACCGGACGCGGAACGCGCGCCCCTCTCGCCATACGCGCACGCTGCGCCTGCCGCCCAGGATGCGAGCCTCCTCTACCACCGGTGCTTCCGCGATCCCTTCGGGCCACTCATGCTCCGCGATCTCTCGCCATCGCTGGCCCTCCGGCGCCGACACCGTCCGCGACAATTTCGGCCGTGCCACCACCTCGGATACTTCGGGCGCCGAGTGCTGCCGCTTGAGCGGAGGACGGCCGTTTTCCACGGGCTCAGGCCACACCCAGGGTCCTCGCTCCAGAGGCTCCGCGGTTAGTGTCGCGCTCCCGGTAGACATTGGCGTCGATGGCTCTGTCCTTGGCGTTGTGGGTCCGGTGCTCGGCGTCGGTGGCGCCCACTGCTCCGGTCTGCCACGGGTCCTGGGATCCAGCGGGCTCACCCGGGGACCACTTTCCTCCCAGATTCGGGGCGCTGCCGTCTCCTCTACGGGTTCCTCCGGCCAGGTCCAGACAACCGTCTGCTGTCGCCACCTTACTCCTTCGGCCACGAACGTCCGGGTGCTGTGGCTCACATGGGCCGCCGGTATGTCCGTCCGGATGTGTTGCTGCTGCGGTGGTGGCTGCTGCTGCGGTGGTGGCTGCTGCTGCGGTGATGGCTGCTGCTGCGGTGGTGGCTGCTCGCGCTCAAGCTGCTGCTGCTGTGGTGGCTGCTGCTGCGGTGGTGGCTGCTGCTGCGGTGATGGCTGCTGCTGCGGTGGTTGCTGCTGCTGCGGTGGTGGCTGCTCCCGCTCGAGCTGCTGCTGCTGTGGTGGCTGCTGCTGCGGTGGTTGCTGCTCGCGGTCGAGCTGCTCGAACCTCGGCGTGGGCGGTCGTGCTTGCGTCCACTGTGGTGACCCCTCGTACCGCGGTGTGAGCGGGATTTCGGGCAGCCACCGCGGAGGTGAGGACGCCCAGTCGTCTGCCACTTCTTGCGGCGGGATGCAGGGCTCGGGCGCATACCTCGGCGTGGGTGGGTACCCTGGGTTTTCCCACAGCTGCTGCTCCTCCTCCTCGGCCATCCGCAGTTGGGCCTGCCACTCCGGCGACTCCTCCATCTCCTTCAACCGCCGCTCCTCGCTCCGCCTTCGCGCCTCGCACTTTCGTCGAAACTCCCACTTAGCCGCTACCACAGCCTCGGCATGGCTACTGGGAGCCAGCTGGTCCTGGGGCGCCTCTTCGCTGGCCCACTCCACCTCCGCCGCGCCAGTCGGGATGCCTCCGTCGGCCCGGTTGACCGCTTTGCGAAGCCGCCATCGCCGCTGCTCCACCCGCGGGTTCTCTACCAACTCGACGTCGCTGTCGGAGCTGATGACCGGCTTGGGGACGCCCCGCCCGGAGATCCGCCGCGAGGTTCAGGTAGGCCGGGCTGTCGACCATCCTTGCCCCGGGCTAGATCCTCCGGACGGCTGGTGGGCAGCCATCATCTTGCGCGCTTCGCTCCTCGTCACACGTGTGCTCATAATGCTCGTCGATTTTGATTGTTCACCTGGAGCCTGGGCTCCCTTTAACGACACCTCGGTTCCGAGCCTTCCTCTTTGCTCAATCCCGCTATTTCCATCGGCCTCTCCTTCTTACTACCCAGATCTACGGTACAGCTCTCTGCTCTGTGCCGTCTTCCCCCTTCCTTCGGTAGACTTTTGATGCGTGTTTTTTCCTTTCCTCCGATCAGTCCCAATCGAGACCTTAGACGCTCTGGTTCGCTCCCTTTGTGTTCTTAACGTTCTCCTGATGTCCTCTATGTGTTTCATTGCGCCTTTGTAGATGCCCTGTAGTATCCTTGGAGTCGGTTTGTAGTATCCCTTTCGAATCCTTGGAATTTGTTCGTAGTATCCTTTGGGAATCCTTGCAGGTATCCTTGGACTCTTTCCGTAGTACCCTTTGGGAATCCTTGGACGTATCCTTTGACTCCTTTCGTAGTATCCTTTGGGCATCCTTGGAGGTATCCTTGGAATCCTTTCGTAATACCCTTTGGGCATCCTTGGAGGTATCCTTGGACTCCTTTCGTAGTATCCTTTGGGCCTCCTTGGAGGTATCCTTGGACTCCTTTCGTAGTATCCTTTGGGCATCCTTGGGGGTATCCTTGGACTCCTTTCGTAGTATCCTTTGGGCATCCTTGGAGGTATCCTTGGGATCCTTTCGTAGTATCCTTTGGTCATCCTTGGAGGTATCCTTGGACTCCTTTCGTAGTATCCTTTGGGCATCCTTAGAGATATCCTTGGGATCCTTTCGTAGTATCCTTTTGTCATCCTTGGAGGTATCCTTGGACTCCTTTCGTAGTATCCTTTGGGCATCCTTGGAGGTATCCTTGGACTTTTAATGTTGTTTTGCATCTGTTGTGTCTGCTTGCTGTAGCCGCTCGCTTGTGTTTTTCGTTTGTTGCTGTTTCAGCTCGCTTACGTGGATGGTCCGCTCTTTCTTTGTGTTTATGTGTCGTATTTTGCAGATGACTGGTGACGCAAAACCTATGACTTGGTAAGGTCCGTCGTATCTTGGGGCCAATTTTGCTGCGAACCCCTCGGCCGCTTTTGATAAGTGGTGTTCTTTGGCCCACACGACGTCACCCACCTTTGGCGTCCATTGCCTCCCCCTTAGGTTATAATGCCTAGCCTGGTCCTGGGATGCTTTCTCCAGGTTCCGCCTTACAATCTCGAAGATTTCCCTGAGTTTGATGGCATTCCCTTCCGGGGTCTCTGTCGGTCGTCCGGTCCCTACGGTTTCTCTGTCGTATAGGGCGCTCGGCAGTCTTGGTTCTCTGCCTTGGGTAATAAACGACGGTGTGTAACCTGTGGATTCTGAAACGCTCGTGTTTACTGCCAGCATGATTTCTGGCCATTTTTCGTCCCAGTCTCTTTGGTTCTGCCCTGCGAACTGCGCAATCATTGTTTTCACCGTCCTATTGGCTCTCTCAGTCGGGTTCTCCTGTGGGGTGTATGGAGCTGTGAACTGTTGCCTGGCTCCCATTTCGGCCAGGAAACTCTTGAAAGTTTTGCTGGTAAACTGGACTCCGTTGTCCGTTATGACTATTTTGGGGACCCCATACCTCGCGATTATGCGTTCTTTAAAAGCTTTCTTTAGGGACTCGGCCGTCGCGCTTCGCAGCGGCACCAACTCAGTCCACTTGGAGAACCGGTCTATCAATACCAGCAGCATTCGGTTGCCGTGCTTCGAACGCGGCAGGGGTCCGACGAAGTCCGCACATACCGTAGCCCATGGTTCCTCTGGCACCAGCCATTTGCATCTGATTCGGCTTGAATCTCTTGCATGTCTCGCATACTCGCACGTGGGCTCGGGCGTCTCTGTGCATTCCTGGCCAGTAGTACCGGGCTGCCAGACGTGCTATTGTCTTTCGGCTTCCTACATGGCCAGCCGCCGGTGAGTCGTGGTTCTCCTTCAGCACCGTTTCCCGTAGAGCTTTCGGGACGCACATCTTCCATGTTGCAACATCTTCGCTGCCCGCTCTATGAGGTATATTTCTGTACAGGGTGTTACCCTCCATCACGTTGTCCGGATACTTTTGCGGCTGGGTCCTTATCTTTTCGCGCATTTCCAGAATCCAGCTGCATGCTGCAGAAGCTTCCGCCGCCGACGTCTCCTTGATCCCTCGAAGCGTTTCCGGCAGTGGCTGCCTTGACAAAGCGTTTGCCACCACGTTGAGTTGCCCTTTCCTGTACGCTATTTCGAAGTCGTACTGCTGCAACTCCAGGGCCCATCTGGCGATCCTCCCTGAAGGGCTCTCTATGCTGTCGAGCCACTTCAGTGCCATGTGGGCGGTTACTACTTTAAAGTGGTAACCTTCCAGATACGGCTTGAGCTTTCGGATTGCCCAGACGATTGCCAAGCACACCTTCTCGGTCGTTGAGTAATTCTTCTCAGCGCCGTTGAGCGTTCGGCTTGAGTAAGAGATTACCTTTTCGCCTCGTTCAGTTTCCTGGGTCAAGATTGCCCCGATGCCGTAGTCGCTTGCGTCAGTTTGCAAGATGAATGGTTTGTCGAAGTCCGGGCATGCCAGTACGGGGTCTGCGACGAGTCTTGCCTTCACCTCTTCGAACGCCGTCTGATGTTCCTGTGTCCACACCCATTTATTGCCCTTGCGTAGCAGATCGTTGAGAGGTTTGACTATTCTTGCGAAGTCAGGTACAAACCGGCGGTACCATGATGCTACGCCCAGGTACTGTCGGAGCTCTCTTACTGTCGATGGTGGTTCTAGTTCGGCGATGGCTGCTACCTTTTCCGGATCCGTACCTATTCCTTCGCTAGTCACTCGATGACCGAGATATAACAGCTCTTTCTTGAAAAAATTTAAACTTCTACGGGTTTAATCTCAGATTTGCCTCTTTTAGTCGTCGGAACACTTCCTTTAGGTTGGCCTTGTGTTCTTCCAGCGAGCGCCCGATCACTATGATGTCGTCCTGGTAAGCAAATGCGTGCGGCGACATTTCGGGGCCGATCACCCGGTCCAGCACCCGTTGAAAGGTCGCAGACGCCGAATGAAGTCCGAGTGGCATTACTTTCCATTGGAATAAACCTTTCCCCGGCACTGTAAACGCCGTAAACTGCCTGCTGTCCGCTTTCAGTGGGATTTGCCATTACCCATCCTTTAGGTCCAAGCTGCTGATGTACCGTGCTTCCCTCAGTTGGTCGAGAATATAATTTATTCGGGGCATCGGGTAGGCATCCTTTACAGATTTGCCGTTTATTTGCCTAAAGTCGACGCACAGTCTCCATTTGCCCGTCTTTTTCCTAACCATCACGATGGGAGAACTGTATGGGCTTGTTGAGTGTTCTATGTATCCCATTTGGAGAAGCTCGTCCACCTTCGCATTGATCTCCCCTTGAACTTTCGGATTCTTGGGATAGTATCGCTGCTTTATTGGTTTGTCGTCTTTCATCATGATCTGATGCTCTGCCATGTTTGACGCTCCCTTCATGCTGCTGAAAGTCGATAGCTCTGCCTCCAGGAATTTCGTCGTGTCGTCATCTTCGCTTGCCCGTTGTACAACTGCCACCGATAGCTTCTCCTCGAGCCATCCCTTGTGGCGATTCCTGGCCGGTATTACCGCCTTGTGTTAGAATGTTCCATCCCAACACCAATCTGCAGGCTCATGGTCAGTCGCTTGTTCCCGAACGCGATTTCCACCTCCAGCTGCTTATCGACTCCGCCACATCTTCCGTCTGCCAACCTAACTTGCCGTCGTATCCTCGTAGTCTTCCCGAGGGCAGCCAGGTTGGCCGCCAGTTCTTTACTTATAAAGCTTGCTGTTGCCCCGGTGTCAATTGTGGCCTTGTATGTGCCC